AAGTATTGGTACAGTAAAGACAAAATTGCTCTGCTTGCTGTGGAGTCAAGACATTTGCAAATATGATTAAAAGATTAATACGAGACAAAACTACAGATTGTCACATTTTATTATTAGCTGTTTCAACACATACATGTTTTACCAAATAAAAAGGACAGCACTTTTAGAGTTCCCACTATCTGATGTGAGCATAAGTTTTGGGACAGTTGAACTTAAAGGGGTCATATGATGTTGCTAAAAAGAACATTATGTTGTGTATTTGGTGTAATGCAATGTGTTTATGCGGTTTAAGGTTAAAAAAACACATTATTTTCTACATACTGTACATTATTGTTTCTTCTCTATGCCCCGCCTTTCTGAAACGCGTCGATTTTTACAAAGCTCATCTTTCTGAAAAGCGAAGTGTACGCTGATTGGCCAGCTATCTAGTGCGTTGTGATTGCTTGAATACCTCAAGCGTGTGACGGAAATGTTACTGTGATGCCCTGTCCGGCCGGAGTGACGATTCAAAAACATTAAAACCCATTGCAAACGAAGGCATTTGTTGCATCCAGTGGGGACATAATTACGGATTATAATGACTTATACTGTGTTTTTACGCGCTGCATTGCGTATCGTGCCGCGTAAACATAAAACCATGTCTGCATTTGTGAACGGAGATACGACAAACAACAAGCGCTACTCAACACTGCTCAAAACTCTGGTGGTGGTTGAAGAGAGACCCCCATATGATTGTAAAGCGCTTTGGGTGTACAACAATACACAATGAAGCGCTATATAAATGCATCATTCATTCAAAACTCGCATTTGAATCGTCAGTGGCAAATTCTTTAAATATAAAAAAAACGTACTTACAGGCTGTGAGTCAGAAGTGCCAGACTGTCCTTGCAAAGTTGGAACTGCCCCACTTTATAGAAGAGCCTTTGAGCACAGACCCATTGTAGGCTACTCTGCAGGTTCAGGAAACAGTCCTCCACCCATAAAATGCGTCACACACGGCGGGCTAGAGTGAGGAACAGCGGATTCGACGAAGGAGCGGCCGGTGGGCTTGCGGCAACCACATGTGACGACCCCGGGCTGGACTCCGCTTCGTCCACAATGAAAGCCGATCCGGCGATCCACAGCGCAAAGTTGTTGTATTTCCTCAGCGACCAGCATGGATAAGCTCTAGGAATGACGAAGCGGATATCGTCCTCTTTTGGAACAAAGTAGTTTAGCTTTCACAACTAAACACACAGCGCCGTCATGACATGGCGGCGGCGGCAACAACAATTCTACAGCGAGAATAAAAGTTACGACTTATTTCTTTGCGTGAACATTTGGGCGGCATTATGCAAATCTTACGCCTGAAAATAATCCCCAGCTAGGTAACTTCCAATAAGCCTATTTTCAGGCGCTGCGTAATATCATTGCACCTGCTGCACCTATGGTACGGCAGCAAAGTTCCTTGATTATTACGCCGGAATGAGAGTATAGTTCCTAGCCATATCGGCCTAGAAAATCGCAACTTTTCATTTTCCGTCGGTCTTAGTACACGATGTAACTACAGAAGAGTCAAGTTTTAAATAGGAAAAATATCGAAACTCTTTGGTCATTTTTGAGCGAGATGCTAACGGTCTAATCAGATTCAATGATCTATGCTAAGCTAAGCTAAAAGTGCTACCGCCAGACCCGGAGATCGGCTGAATGGACTCGAAAACGGTAAAACTCAACCGTTTAACTCTAGGGGAGTTGGAAAATGAGCCTGTGACGTGTGGGGGCGGGGCCGAGAGCCGTGGGAACGGAGCGAGGCCGGTGGAGTCTGTCCTGATGCAATATGAAGCGCTTCCCAATGAAACTGGTGGCATTTCCTTGAACATTGGAAGCCAAGATATTTCTGTATACTTCTGCAATCATTCTGCTACTGTCATCATATATTAAGTCATCATTAAAGTTGAGAGGGCCTGTTCCAGAGACAGCTATGCATGCCCATGCCATGACAAAACCTCCACCATGCTTTACAGATGAGGCTGTATGCCTTAGGATCATTTGCAGTTCCCTTTTTCTCCACACTTTTGCTTTCCCATCACTTAGATAAAGGTTAATCTTTGTCTCACCTGCCCATAAAACTCAGTTCCAAAACTCGACTGGCTCACATTTGTGCTTTTTTGCAAACTTGCTAATCAGAGGATTGCATCTTGCCGTGTAGCCTCTGTAATTCTGTGTCGAAGTCTCTTGCGGACAGTAGATTGTCAGAGCATCACCCCAGCTTTCTGAAGGTTGTTGGTGATTTTACAGACACGTATTTTAGGGTTCATTTTCACAGCTTTCATGATTTGTCTGTCATCAACTGCTGTTGTTTATCCTCAGCCGATCAGGTCGTTGTTGGTTGCTGATGTCGCCGGTGGTTTCCAAACTCTTGATTTCTCCATGCATTTAGTTTTTTCTATAACTCTAATTGAGTTCCTCTTTGCTTTTAGCATCCAAATTGCTGGCTTTTCTCTCGAAATCAGCTCCCTCGTCTCCATCCTGGTTTGTGTGTATCGTCATCGAATGCAAGACTCAGAATGCAGAAGCAATGGATATAACTGATACGACACATTCCCTGCTTTTAATACCTTAACAATTAATTCAACAGGACACAGCTGATCACTTAGAGAGACCTGTGAGGCAACTGTTCCAACACTTATGCTCACATCAGATAGGGGGATGCAACTTTAAAAGTGTTGATCTTAGTTGGTAAAACATGTATGTGTTGAAACACCCAATAATAAAATATGACAATTTGTAGTTGTCTCATATTCATCTTTTAAACATATTTACAGATTTCTTGACTCCACAGCAAACAGAGCAATCTACACACACACACAAATGCTGCAAAATGTATCTTATGACAATATCATGAATCCTTTTCTGACACTAACAAAGAGCAATGGCATTCAGATATTCTATTCTTCAGAGAATACCGTGGTACTACTATGGTAAATATATTTTTTAGACACGACACAGAAATCTAAAATGCGATGTAAACTAGATTTAAATACTTTAAGGAGGAGCAGTCAGTCGTTATACCATCAGACAGAGAGTTAAGACAGATATTAACATATCTGTCTAACTTACGTTCCATTTCAGCCATGACTTCCAATTCATCCGCAAACTGGTGTTCAAAATCATCTTCAATCCCGTACATTTCATCATATTCGTCCATGTTTGCGGTCTCTCGAATGTTTTGACAGGAAATTTACATGTAACCTGACGTATGAATAAACAAGTAGTAGAGCGCATATACATCGACAAAAGAAATTTTTGCGCAAATTTTTTGTGTACATACATGTACTTCCGGTTTTATTGTAAGACCTACATCCGCTCGATAAAAGTCCTGGACATGGTAAATTAAATAAACAAAGGCGAATACAACAATTTAAGATTTATATTAGAAAATAGCCTGTTTGAAAACTCTATCATCAGCCTTTTTTGAACTGTCATTTTCCAATGTATTATAATTGCAAGTTTACAATAGATTCAATTGATATGAAATAATGTAATTTCCTAAATACTGTATGCACTAAAACAATGATATGCGTTGTTCAAATCTGTCATTCCCTCGTTTCCCTTGCTTCTGATTGGCAGACAAACTGAGGGGGCGGGCATTATGTAAACAATGACAAACAGAAATATCCAATCATTCCGCTAGAACGCAAGTGTTTTGCATATGTCCCAGAACGCTCGCACAGAAGGGGAGTAAACCCTCCTAAAATTTGAGTTTTTATGATTTTGAATGTACTCCAGATTCCCCATATACCGCTCTACGATATAGCAGACTTATTATATAAATAATTTGTTGTCTAAACTTTTTGTTACCGCCATTTGCTTTAATAGCCAGTATCTGAACTCTATATTTTGGCAATTTCCTCCTAGCACTCGTGTTGTCTGAAACAACACATATACTAAAATTGGAACGATACAGAGAAGATTAGCATGGTCCCTTGCGCAAAGATGACACGCATAATCGTGAAGCGTATCCAATCTTTTAAAATTACTATATATTTTTGCACATAAGTGCTTTCAATCGTTTCTAAAATCTTCATCCATATAACCAAAGTCCGTTTAAGTATCTTCTATAGTCCTTGATATTACAGCGAATACAAAAACAACAATTAGGAGAGACAAATCTTTCTACAGCTAGTTGCAAAGACAAACGCCAATTATTTTATAAGCACACATATTTTAATACACATATAGGCTATATTTTTATACACACAAACACACACACACACACACACATATAATTATGCAGGTGTCTTTAAACTGTATCAGTGGGTTCCTTTTAAGGATATCGTTTGGTGGGCTTGACGCTAAAAATCTTGCACAAGAGGACAGCAAAGCTCATGGTATGTAAATATATTTTCATACATTTTGAGGTTATATCACATTTTATTAAAACACATTTAATTGGTTTAAATGTTCTACATGTTTTAATTACATAATTTGTTGGCCATGATAATGTTATGGTATATTTGTTACCTTGTACATCCTTGTTGTTTAGTTTAGTTTTATTTATGTATTTTTTTTTTTGCCACCGCTTTAATGTATGTATCTACAAAAAAGTTGCATTCACTTAAGAGACAGCTAGCTCAGATTACATTATCACTCTGTATGTTGCAATCAGTTTAGTTATACAGGCTTGGTAGAATGTATCATTCTTATGCTTTAAATAACTATGTTGAGAAAACGACTGAACATAAAAAGTCATATGTTATTATTTCTTAATTTCAATGAAGTAATAAAACATTACTTGTTCCGATGGCACTAAAACTGCAGAAAAATGTATTTTGCCCACTTAATAAGCAGAGAGAATATTCTATGTTGAACGGGCAGAACGGGCCGTGTTGTCATCAATCGTCAGGACCAAACTGTTATTGTTCCACGTGCAGTTTTCTCGAAACTCCGCCTTTCAACTCAGCGCAGCGAGACGCTATTGGTCAGACGCGCTGTCAATCAAACAAACATGGCCGTGCCTTCTAGTTTTCTACTGTAGGCTCTTTGATTTGCGTGACATCACCAGTTCCGTCCCAACGCGGAAATGTGCGATATTTGTTATTATAATATAGGATCAGTTGTCTGGCATGTTAGACATATGCTGAACCGTAGCAGTACTGTAAGTGATTGAGCATGCCGCTGTGATTATGGCGTTTTGTTGGGGTTTGGAGCCCTTTCGACCTTAGTGTATATTTACTGGCACAGACCTAGAACACGCCGCTACTTCAACCACACACACATCTGTCAGATTCAAGGAGAAATGATGGACTGGAGACATTTGCTGCTGCTGCTGTTGTTGCTTAGCTTGGCTGGAAACGTGTCACAGGTAAATAGGGGGAAATGGATCGCATGTGTTTACCACTTTATGTTGCTGGTCACCATAGGGAATGCACGGGGGACAGGGATATGTGTTCATCTATTTTTGGCGACGCAGAGGCGGGGTGCTCTGAGGTTCCTGGAATGATAGGCTAATTAAAAATAATGAACAAGAATAAAACAGGCATCCCATATTATAACTATTTGATGTTATTAATATACTATTGTATTATAATTGAAAAGTAATATAGTGAATTTACTATTAATAATGAATTAAGTGTGCGAGTCGGATTCATTTAGGCGAATCGGTTCATTTGAACGAACGTCTTCAAAAACCCGATTCACAGATTCTTTAGTTATCACTCAAAAGAAAAGCGTCGCTTCGCAGATTTCAACATTTTGTAGTGAACTAGTTGGTGTTTTATATTATGGTTTTGATTAGGTACTGTAGGTCTAATGGTTTTTCTGTACTAAATCTGTGCCATTTTTGCGGAAATTGCCCTTTTTTTGTAGTTTTATAATGGTATTGATAATACAAAAAAAAATACATTCAATTAAATAATAATAATATTACTATTGTTTTTTCTTATATTGTTAACTGCATTATATCTACCTCACCGCTTAATTCCTAAACAAAATGATCCAGTTCCGTCGAGTGCTTTGACAATTTGACAATAATCTGCTCAAAAGACCGATTCGTTCATTATGTGAGCGATTCAAGCAACACGTTTGGAAGAAGTTGGGAACACAACCCTATTAACAGAGCTGTTTAAGCTCATTTCAGTTCGTATTCTTACAATAGTGTCGTATTACCTGAGCCTGAGCACGAGACCTGCATAGATACGCGCTTAATAGGCTTTGTACTGGAGAGCTCGCGCAATCCATGATGCATTGTTCCCAGAGCGGCTGCATGTGTGTTAGTTATAACAAGAGTTCCCATGAATGTGTGAGAAAACATGAGTAGTGAGTTTTAAGGTATGCGGTGCTATATGCTCATTTCTTTTAATCACTTACTGGCCCATAATGTTTTAGGCAGAGCTTCGGGTTTAGTTTGACCTGAGGTAATAATACCACTGTTCTTTATGCCCTCAGGATGAATTATTGAAAATGTAAAACATTGTATCCCCTCAAATTAATAATGAGTGTATGCTTTAATGAAATAACAGCCTAATTATGTCATCCTACAAGTACATTTGATACCTTTTGTACTCTGTGTATTTTAGTGGAGCAAGACAGTTTTGTAATGTTTCTGCAAGTTCTACACAGTGAACTTTATTATACATTAGGCCTACAGGGTGGATATGGAGTCAGAAGGGGGTCAGATAAATATCTTACAACAGTGAACTGAATATGTGACAAGATTCAAAAATGTTTATATAAAAAAAAAAAATTTAAACAGAAATGAAAAACGTGCATAATACTGTTGAGTGATATTGACTCATTCAAAGTTGTCATTCTCAGTCATATAATGTCAGGCAGTTTGCACAGTGAACTTTATTATACATTAGGCCTACAGGGTGGATATGGAGTCAGAAGGGGGTCAGATAAATATCTTACAACAGTGAACTGAATATGTGACAAGATTCAAAAATGTTTATATAAAAAAAAAAATTTAAACAGAAATGAAAAACGTGCATAATACTGTTGAGTGATATTGACTCATTCAAAGTTGTCATTCTCAGTCATATAATGTCAGGCAGTTTTTTGGTAAATATAGGAGTGGCGTTACAAAGAAGGATATCCTGGTTAATAGCCGCTGACTGTTAACCATGCTCTCTAACACAAACACACACAAACCTCTGAAGCTATGTTAGTGAGGACCTCGTATAGACATGATTTTTCGTAAATAATATATTTGCTATACACTCCCCATGAATCTAACTCTTACAGACATGTTGGCATTAGATTTAAAGCTAAACGTGAGTTTAAAAATGTTGGCCTTCACAAGTACACACACACACACACACACTCAGTCAGTGTGGGTATTTCCGGATACATATCAGGTAGCGATTAGTTTTAAATAGTCTGATATCTGCAGTGTGGTGTGTGAAATGGTGTTTTACTGGTTTCTCTTTCAGTGTGAGGGGGGAAGTTCAGTCTCTCTCCCAGAATCCCTGCTCTTTGTTTCTACACTGGATGGAAGTCTGCATGCCGTCAGTAAACAGACAGGAGACATCAAATGGACACTAAAGGAAGGTGTGTGTGTATCTGCATGCATGTATGTGCATTATGACAAATGATCAAAAAGAATGTTATCATGTTGTAGTGCTGTCGCATTAAGACGAACGTTTTGTTGTTACAAAATTGTTATTCCATGACATATTTTTAAGAGTAGTGTAATTGCTGTAGTATTATTATCTGCCAAACAACTTCCATAACCATTTCACTCTCTCTCTCTTCTAGATCCCATCATACAGGTTCCGACCTATTTCCAAGAGTAAGTGTTTTAACAGCTTCAGAAACTAAATGAATGTACACTACTACACGTTTAGGGTCGGTAAGATTTTTAAAAATGTTTTTAAATGTCACTTGTGCTCACCAAAAAAACGCAGTGAAACACATTATAGACATTAATATTGTGAAATATTATTACTGTTTAAAATAAACATTTTCGATTTTACTTTGAATATAAAATATATTTTAAAAAAATGAATTGAAATGTCATTTATTCCTGCGATGGCAAAAATAAATGTATTGTCTGCCATTACTCAGTTTACATTACTTCAGTGTTACATGATTCTAATGCACTGATTTGTTGCTTAAGTAACGTTTCTTATTATTATCAATGTTGAAAACAGCCGTGCCGCCTAATTTTTTAATATTACATTAAACCTTGAAACCATGAAACATTTTTAGGATACTTTGATGAATAGAAAGTTCAGAAGAACAGCATTTATTTGAAATTGAAATCTTTGGCAACATTATAAATGCTGTTATTGTCGTTTTTGAACAGTTGAATGCATCCTTGCTAAATAAAAGTAAATATAAAATAAAATATGAATTAAAAATATAAAATAACATCTTACAGACCCCATACATTTGAAAGATAGTACCGTATGTTGGTCAAAATGTAATAACTTGCTTTTTTTTTATAAATAACATCAGTCATGCAGGCTATTGGATACTATTACCAATAGCCAAAAAAAGTAATTTAGTGATTGTTTTAAAATTGCATTCAGGTCTCACACATTTCTGGTATGTAATGGCCACTTTTATGATCCAATTTTAAAGTTCTCTGTTTCCTCTTGTAGGCCAGGCTTTTTACCGGATCCCAATGATGGAAGTCTGTATGTACTAGGAGGCAAGCGCAAAGAGGGTCTGATGGTGAGTGACACGGGAAGGGGTGCGAGTGTGTTTGTCAGAGAGTCACAGCTCAGTCATTTATATGAATCTTCTCTGCAGAAACTCCCGTTCACTATTCCAGAGCTGGTCCAGTCTTCTCCCTGCAGGAGCTCTGATGGGGTGCTCTACACAGGTATATATGTATATATGTTTGTTTGTTTGTAATGTTTTTGGTGAAATCAGTGTTTGATATATGTATTTTGTGGTAATGGAGGTTTCCCATGGACAAAAAAAAGTGATTTCCAGCTCAGTGTGATCTTTTTGTGAAAATTAATAAAAACTTAAAAGTCATATACTAGTTTTGCTGAGCGAAACCCTAATAGCATGTACATACAATGATCTGTGAAAAGTTCCATGGCCTTGCACACTCTCATTTATTGTATTGTGTATTTTCCCAGGTAAAAAACAGGACACTTGGTTTGTGGTTGATCCTCAGACAGGTGAAAAACAGACGAGTCTAAGCACCTCCTCTTCAGCCTCCATTTGCCCTTCTGCCCCTCTGCTGTACATTGGTCGCACAGGTCCGAACACACATATGTGACCCTTCTCTTTATTATAACACCCTGAGTCATTCTGTAATACACATATGTAATACTCACACACACACACACTCATTTTTTTGAAAGAAGAAATACTTTTATTCAGCAAGAATGCATTGAATTGATCAAAAGTGAGAGTAAAGACAAAAACGCTAAAAGAAAAATATCAGAACATTATTATTAGTAATAATAAGAAATGTTTAATGAGCAGCAAATCAACATATTAGATTGATTTCTGAAGGATCATGTGACACTGAAGACTGGAGTAATGATGCAGAAAATTCAGCTTTGAGTTTATTTGCAAAAACAGATAACTCAATTTTGTTAATTTTCAAAAATCATGTTTTTTTTATTATGTTATCATGTTTTTATTGTGTTTTATTGTGTTAATTAGGACCCAATAATATTCGTAATATGCAATGGCAGTTTTATTTGACAACCACGTAAGGAAGCAGTTTAAAATAGAGGAGAAATGCAGATAAATTTTTTTTTTATGAGTGTGTGTAAATGCATTAGTTTAAGTGTGTGGGGTGGTTAAGTACTTGCAGAGGTGGTGTGTGTTATTCACACAAAAACCTTACATAGCTCTGACACCTTGATATTGTGATTGATTGTTTTTTTTATAATGGCTGTTTCCATGTAGCAAATTATACTGAGGAAAGTACTGTATTAAACTAAGGGAGAGATTAACAAACGTCAATTTGTGAGCTGTGCTGTACATTCTTCAATAAAATTAAATAAATTGAGATTCGGTAGACGGCATCTATAGCAACTTTATAATTGGATGTAGGCCGTTGAAAATCTCATGCATGATGAAATTGCAAGCGTTACGAAACAGCCAAGCACAAACTTGTCATCTTGTGTTTACAGTTGCCACCGTTAACAAAGCACAGCTCCTCCCCTGTGTTGCCAGACTTTTTGACCTCTGACCCCATGACCGTGCTGGTGGTGACACTGTTGCTTGGAGCGTGGATTGCCTTCCTGCTAACACACAAAAGGGTTTGTAGTAGAGGGTGTATTTTGAATATTTATAATATACATATTCATATACAGTATATGTATATAAATAAAAATATGTATATAGTATATATATATATATATATATATATATATATATACACATATGTTTGTGATATAAATAAACAGGCATAAAAACGGTTTGTTTTTCTCTTTTTGATCAGCCTGTCAAAAAATCCCAGAGATCTGAAGAGCCAGTGGACACTAACCATCTGCCAGTGTTGACCAATCAGAGCGCTAACGCAGAACCCAGTGCTCCGCCCTCAACCTCATCTTACAACAACAACAGCCATTCAGAGAAGACAAGTTCTGTTGCATCCAATCAAACTCAGCCATTCTCAAGCAAAGACTCCCCAATAACGACAGCTGGCCAATCACAGAGTACAGAAACTATTCTATCTATCTCCATATCAACTGTTGAGCCTTATTCATGAAACACAAAAACAAATTTCTGTGTAAATCCAATTAAATCCCAACTATTCTTTTTACAACTGATTGCTTTTACAACTCTGTAATTTACTATAATTTTAAAGTTCACTATAATTTAAGCCTTTAGATATTTGTGTTTTTAAAATTGTGATTAACTCATATTCTTCAGGTGATCAGACTGACGTTGTGGAAGTTGGAAAAATCTCTTTCAGTCCTGCCGAGGTGCTGGGCCATGGGACAGAGGGAACCTTTGTGTTCCGGTGGGTTATTATGGATCGTAATAATAGTTTGGTTGGTTGGTTGGTTGTTCTTTACCTTTAATTCACTGGTGTTATACATGCAGGGGTCATTTTGACGGTCGGCGTGTGGCGGTAAAGCGTATTCTTCCGGAGTGTGTGGAGTTTGCAGAGCGAGAGGTTCAGCTCCTCCGTGAATCAGACGAGCATCCCAATGTCATCCGTTACTTCTGCACAGAGCGGGACAGACAATTCACTTACATTGCCATAGAGCTGTGTGCCGCTACACTCCAGCAGGTGTGTTTCAGTGAATGTGTGTGTATGTGTGTTACAACATGAAAGTTACTCGTTTGCCTTTTCACTGTTTCATCGTGATTTGTGAAGTCGATCTACATGAGGCAGTAACATGAGTATTGTATAGTTAGAATTTAAAAGTCAATTGGTGGCAGACAAGGAAATCTGTTCGAAAACAAACTGTGCAGTTAGAGTTTGGCTAGTTGCACAAAAAGTATTTTAGTATTAGTAATATACTATTATAGAATACTATTTATTAATATGTTGAATCAGCTTTTATTTTTATATTTTCAGTTTTAATTTTAAAGTTTTAGTATATTTGTCTTTTTATTAGTTTTTTTTAATACTTTTTAGCTTTATTTTATTTCAGTTTTATCTTTAGTCATTTGAACTTTCTTAACATCCTTTTGAATACATTTCTAATTAATGTATTTATAGTTTTTCCATCTAAAATTAATATTTTAATTTATTTCAGGTATATTTCAATTAACAAAAACACTTTTTAAAAGTGTTTAAAACAGCAATGAAACCATGTAGTGTTATTATTTTTCACAAGTGATTAATTAATAACACGTTATATATGTTCAATTAGCTTTTATTTTTATATTTTCAGTTTTAATTTTAGTTTAAGCTTTAGTCATTTTGTTTGTCATTTTTATTGGTTTTATTTTAGTTTTAGTAATTTGAATACTTTAATATAATACTTTATAATACTTTAATATTAACATACTTTTGAATACATTTCTAATTAAAGTTTTTTAAGTTTAAGTTTTTCTTTTTTCATCAACATTTATATTTCAGCTTTGAGTTAACAAAAAACACTTAAACTTTTTTAGTTTGAGATAATAAAAAAACGAGTGAGATTTATGCTTAAATTTTAAGATGCATTCTCTGACAAATATGCATCATTTTTAAAGATGATTTAAGCATTTAGATATTTCTACTAAAAAGCAAGACAAAACTATGATTATGAATTAGGCTTTTGCAATATGCCACTACTAAAACAATATTCCTACTGTACTGTGCTGTATTTTCTATTTTCTAACTGTATAACAACATTTTGTTATTCATTTTCATTAATAATATTCATTAATAATATTAATATAAGTATAACCAACTATTTCAGCTGTATATTTCAGCTGTATAATAACTGATAACTTGTTTTCATGCACCCTGATTGGGTTTTTCTATTTTGTATGTAGTATGTGGAGGACCCATGCTGTCCTTATTCAGACCTGAACCCAGTGTCCCTTCTGGACCAGACCATGTGTGGCCTGAGTCACCTGCACTCCCTCAATATTGGTGAGTCACTATTGCCATAGCAATGATTCTAATCATAACTTCCTTCCTGTAACTTCTTAAACATGCACATGGTAGTATTGCATTGCACTAATGTTTATTAATTGCTGTTGAGTAGCTGAATGTTGATGGCATACATGCATTCAAGCAGACAGACCCACCGTCATTTGTAATTACGTGTCCCTCTCGTACTCAGTTCACAGGGATTTAAAGCCACGGAATATTTTGCTCTCTCTCCCGGGGGCATTGGGTCGAGTCCGGGCGGTGATCTCAGATTTCGGCTTGTGTAAGAAGCTTCCAGATGGTCGCCATAGTTTCAGCCTACGCTCTGGAATACCAGGAACCGAAGGCTGGATTGCCCCTGAATTACTCATTAATGCTCCAAAAGGGAACCCTGTATGTCCAGTAGACATGCATACAAACACACACATCACATGTTCAGTTTAAAAAACAGATATTGTGGTCTACTGAATTTTAAAAACTCACTTAATAAGATATATTCTGTATAAGTTTCCTATAAGTCTCCTTTCCCCTCTTTTTTCTGTCTCTAGACAAGTGCAGTGGACATATTTTCGGCTGGATGTGTGTTTTATTATGTGACGTCCAAAGGACAGCATCCGTTTGGTGACACTCTGCGGCGTCAAGCTAATATCCTCTCTGGAGTCTATAACCTCGACCACTTTATGGAGGATATACATGGTTTGTGCATGCATGAATTTATTAATGCATGTGTACTTTCTGCTTCAGAAGTGTCTGATTTTGTGTAGACAATGTTATCATGGAGATAAATGTAGAAAATTGTTTGTTTTAGTTTTTTTTGGAGAATAAAACCATATTATTTGGCCATTTTAACATTTTTAGCATTAACTAAGAACTATGTGGTTTGGCTGATTAAAAGGTTTCAATTAATAAATTAGATCAAAAATTTCATCAGTTATGTGTATGGACTGAAAAACTCATATTTGAATAGCTTCCTAAAGTTTTTCTGGCTGTTTTGGTGTTTGTAGAGGATGTGATTGGCAGAGATCTGATTGAGTGGATGATCAGTGCTGAACCGGAAACGCGTCCTTCAGCAGCGTCCGTCCTCAAACATCCCTTCTTCTGGAGCCCAGAGAAACAACTGCAGTTCTTTCAGGTGTGTGTGTGTGTGTGTGTGTGTGTGTGTGTTCGTTAAAGGGGCCAGTGAGAAAGTGCAGTGCTGAAGTTGTTCTTTGGCTCTAGGATGTCAGTGACAGAATAGAGAAGGAGCCGGCAGACAGCGTTATAGTGGCCCGTCTGGAGAACTCCGGCAGATCTGTCGTAAGAACCAACTGGAGAATGCACATATCAGCACCACTGCAGGCTGGTAAGCACTGCCAATTACCATTACAAAAAATACTGTAACATTTTTCTTTTATAGAAACATTGAATAAAATGTGGAACGTTTTAAGGCGTATGAAATGAAAAAAATTTCAATTCATGCTGCTTATTATGTATATACAGTATTTGCATGTCTAATATAAAACGTTTTCCGTCTGGCAGATCTTAGAAAATTTCGCACATATAAAGGGAACTCTGTGAGAGACCTACTTAGAGCAATGAGAAATAAAGTAAGTGTTTATGTGTTTTTACATATAAAATGTTTTGCATACAAAAGTGAGTAATCACTAAAAAAAATCTATTAATAATGCACTTAATATAATATAAGATAATATAATTAGTGCTGTCAAACGATTAATCATGATTAATCGCATCCAAAATAAAAGTTTTTCTTTACATAATATATGTGTGTTTACTGTGTATATTTATTATGTACGTATATATAAATACACACACATACAGTAAATATTCTGAAAATATTTACATGTATATATTTATATTTACATAATATATCAACACATTTAATATACAAATATATCATATTTTTCTTCAATATATACATGCATGTCTGTGTATTTATATATACATAATAAATATACACAGTACACACACATATATTATGGAAACAAAAACTTTTATTTTGTATGCGATTAATCGCGATTAATCATTTGACAGCACTAAATATAATATAATATACACTATCATTCAAAAGGAGTCTGTAAGATTTTTAAAATACTGTTGAAAGTTGAAAAACTTCATCAAACATACAGTAAAAACTAATATTGTGAAATATTTTTACAATTTAAAAAAACTGTTTTCTGTTGAACTGCTTTATTATATTTGAAAACGTAATGAATTCCTATGATGAAAAATCATTTTCACCTTCACTTTAATCAATTGAATGCATCTTTGCTGAAAAAAGTATCAAATTAAAAAAATAAATACAATTTGTGACAACAAACTTTTGAATGGTCATAATATAATGTTTTCTAATATATTATAATATAATATTTAAAAGTTGGGGTTGGTAAGTTTTTAATGTTTAAGTATCTTATGCTCATCAAGGCTACATTAATTTGATTTTAAAAAAGACAGTAAAAACTGAAATATTGTAACAAATTATTATATTTTAATTTATTTTACATTTATTCCTCTGTTGGCAAAGCTGCATTTTCATCTTCAATTTAATTTGTTGAATAAAAGTATTAATACATTTTTTTTTTAATTGTACTGCCCCCAGACTTGTGAACCGTAATTATAATGTAATAGAATAGAATAGAATAAAATAGAATATGAAGCCTTCTATAAAAATTTAGAAATCTTGTAATGTTTTCAACAGAAACATCATTATCATGAGCTCCCACCAGAGGTTCAGACAGCTCTCGGTGAAGTCCCTGATGGCTTCGTGGCATATTTTACCTCCCGTTTCCCCCGGTTACTGCTTCACACGCATTCAGCGCTTAGCATCTGTGCCCCCGAGAGACCCTTTCACCCATACTACCACCACTGAACATCCACAGAGACCTACACTGGACTGGAGAGGAAAAGTAAGATCCTTGAGGAAACTGAGACCTTGAGGACTCAACTAAACACTGTCAATGTATAACTCTGTACTTCAGAACTGTGAGCTTTTCTCCTAAACATCCTACTGGACTTGCTGAATGAAATTGAACATTTTTTATGCTTTTACAGAAACAGGTTTTATAGGTTAGATTAACCAAACAAGTTACTGAGTGGGCTTTTATTAATGGGCTTTTACAGAGCTGCCATTGTTTGCTGCGGGTTTTAGCATGTCAACCAAATAGCAAAGAAATAAAAAGGCCATATTTTCTGATGAGTTGACATCAGCCAGTAGTTTGGCATGTGTTCTGTCAGTTTTGACTTTTAACACACAAGATTACTGAATCACCAACTGACTACTTATATTCTTATTAGGTAGAAAGTTAAGCATTTTCATAATAAAGACGTATTAAAGGTTTCTTAAAGGGATAGTTCACCAAAAAAGTTTCAAAAAGGGGTGAAAAAAAAAATCTTGTGCAGGATATTCATATTCAATACATTTGTGTGAGAAACAAATAATGAAATACATTTTGGGTGAACTATTCCTTTAGCCAGGTTACATGCTTAAAGAATGATAAAAGCCAGCAAAACATCCACTGATATTTGCAGATATATGACAATATTTAATAATTAGTGGACTTAAAAAAACTTGTTTGTCTGTCATATTGTACACCACGTGTACATGTATATGTATTTGTGTGATTCAGATACATTGGGATTGGGATTTGTTCTTTTGATTTTGCTTTGTGTGGTTTTAATTGCAGCTTCATGCTACACTTATGGATCTTTTATCCTCCACCACACATTGCAGCTTCATCCTCCTCTCTCAGTGTTACAGCTTTAAAACCAAATATTGTGAAGTGTTTTACAGCCTGCTGTACACTAGTTTTATACTGCTAGTTTAAAAAATATGTCTTTTTATAAATTAAGTGTTGAGGATTTTTGCCACTGGAAATATTCACTGAATGTGGAAATACTACTGCCTTTGTTTTTCTACCCAGTGACGATTAAATGTATTTGCCAAAAAAATCTTTGAAACTATTTGTAGCACAGATCAAAATCTCTTATACTTGATTCAGGTTAATGTTGTTATGGATTTCCATGGCACTGGATACTGTGTTAATTACAAGTTACTTTAAAAAACACGATGGTATTACCATTATCCATGTTCAAAATGTGGTAGTACCATGGCACTTTTTTGTGCCATTTTATTACAGCATCTACAAGACTACTAGTCAAACACATGTAACTACATGAAAAATGTTTTAAACCTAAAAATGAAAACTTTTTATACTGACTTTGCCCTGCAACACATTTTGTACAGTGATATAATCTTAAATAAACTACCTTTAAGCATTTGATTGCATTTCTCTACATTTTGTCAGCCGTTGAATCTAATCCATTATGTTGTGGTAAGCTGTTGCAAATGCACTTAATGTTTAAATAATTTGTCAGCTTTGTGATGGCCAGCTTTACTCTTAATACAAGTGGTCTTGTATTGTCTTGTATTGACAGATGCAAATGGAAAGCTCAGAAACAAGATGTTCTTGATGTGCAGTGGCAATGTAAATAAAAACTACCAAAGAGGACATAATGAAGTTCTTTTCATCTTTCTCATGGTTTCCCCCAAACATCGTCTTATTTGCACATGCTTCCTGTAATAGAAAACATGCAATATGTTTGGTGTTAAGATTTTTTAAATGATTTTGTATGAGACTCTCATGCTCACCGAGGCTACATTTCAAAAACAGCAAAAGCAGTAATATTGTGAATAAATTTAATAGCTTTTTTAAATTTGAATATATTTTACAATGTAATGTATTCCTGTGATGCAAAGCTGAATTTTCAGCATCATTACTCCAGTCTTCAGTCACATGATCCTTCTTAAATCATTCTAATATGCTGATCAAGAAACATTTATCAATATGGAAAACTGTTTTACAGCTTAATATTTGTGCAAGGGATTTTTTCACAAGGTTCTTTTATGAATTTCCAAAGAGCAGCATTTATTTAAAATCGAAATCTTTCATAGAAAATTTGTTTATAATGTTATACAGAAAAAAATACTGAGCCCTGACAGTATAGCATATTAAATTATGGTAAACTCAACATGAAACAAAAGTAGACCCCATTCTGATAATATTGAAATCTTAAAAGACTGAGATCGCAAGGTTTCAGGTAAGATTTAAAACACTAAACACTTATTTTTCAAGACACTTACATTTTAATTAAACTCATAATTATAAACTTGTATTTATCAACAGTATCTAACAATCGAAATTCCTCTAAAAAGATCTTTATTTTGGAAAACCAACTTATTTCAAATATTCTCTTACACATTAAAAGATTAACGTCCAAAAGCTTTTATACAAAGAACAGTCAAAAGGTAAACAGCAAGTTCTAAAATATTAAAACATGTACAAGAGCATTCACATGATACAGCGAGCTGGCATGGTCACAAACTCCCCATCCCAGAAAAACAACTGATAGTATAGGAGTAAATGACAGATCCAGAGGAGGAAGTCAGAGTAGAACCCAGAAAACTGACAAGTTTGACTGCTGGAATCTCATAAAGCTATACAATTTGTGACATCAGTGGGTTAACGGGCAGAAGTAGCGGCTGTGGCGGTGCTTTTGCAGGCCATGAGCTTCTCCACCATGTTGCGAGCGTAGCGCAAACGGCTGGCCAACTCTTTACAGCACCCAAACTCCTCAATTAAGCTCATCTTATAGGTGTAGAACTCCCGCTTCTCATTGATATACGTCACTGCGCCCATCAGGGGACACAAAATAAGCTTAGTGTGGTCCTGTAGGACACAAAGAGAAAATGGTGAGGTCACCCTATCAGTTTGGATACTTCTGTATTTTGGTTGACATCACAAGTACCCAGATCAAGTACTTGACCTATTTTAAACATGGTAGGTTCTCACCTGGAAGAAGTTGATCTGCACGGTTCCATTGCTCAGGTGTAGCACGATGGCGCTCTTTGTGCGGAACCAATGGCACAGGTAAGGCAACCGGATCAGTTCATCCCCATCACGGGGTGTTATGTTCGCCCCGGCCTTCAGCAAGTGCTCGCTCATGTAATTCCTGAAGTACTTGAGGAGTGTAATCTACACCAAAAAATAAATAATAAAAAAAGTGTGTTTTTAGCAACCCTGGAACAGAGAATTATGAAAGTCATTCGTTGTATTATTTCCAGGGCACACAGACCTTTTTGGAGAGTGCAGAAGGGTAGGAGCGAACACTGAGGTAGGATTCTGCAGAGTTGCGGTCGATGTACTGCAAACTGTCACCGTCGGTGTACATGATCAAACGCGTGGAATCATTGAACAGAACGCCTACGCTGTTATCACACAGCTGGTAACCTATGAAGGAGAAAAGTACATTAGCATATGGACAATATGTTTGGAAAGCATGCAAGTAGCATCATGCATCACCCAAAGCTACAAATTACATTTGTGCACATAATTGGGATATCACAAAACATTTGTGAATAAAGCACCTTTTCCCATTCTGCATGTTCAAGAAAACCTGGAAAACTGGCACAAAATATCAGTAGTAAAATAACGTGCTGCAACCGTGGAAGACAGACTTTTTCCCCCTACATAATACATTTGAAGCCCAGAGCATGTTATCTTGAGAAAAAGTGTTTCTATCGCAGTTTACGCATGTTTTCTTACCAAATGAAGTTACCCACCTCAATTGAACAATTTTAGTGCATATTAAGATTTTGCTCATTCCTTTAGGGCTGATGGATCTTTAAACTAAACTGCAGCTAGCAGTAGCTAACTCTACAAATTACCGGGATGCACCAAAATTATTTTATATTTATAAACCGCTGTTTTCACTTAGCCAAAAACCTTAAATAAAGGTTTCGGTAATTAGGGTAATTGAAATGTGATCTCGGATAATAAATTCCACCAGTCACTGTAAAGTTCTTCAGCAATGAGTTGCTTCATTTCAACAAAAAGTTTAAAAGTGAACATTGCTTTCATGTTTGCCTATTGTAGATCATCCACATTATGTGCACAAAACCGACACAAACAGAGCCAAAATGCATCAGTGGAGAAATAATGTTTCCACAGTTTTTAGTGAATATTTCCAGTTGATGAAATTTCAATGCAACATTAACAAATGCCACTTTGGATATTGGCTTGAGTATGTCAGTGTCAGCATGACATCTTACCAAGGCCATATTTGTCCGAGTAGTCGACCCATTTACTAATCCAGAAGATAGGAATACAAGCAGGGTCCTCTGCTTCCTCTATATAGGGAAAAATAAATCATTGCATTGTGCCTGTCAATAGTTTGAACATGAACACCAATCAGCACTTGACCATAATTTTGTGGCTTTATGTACAAATGCACAAAGTACAGTTATAGATTTTTGCTGTTACAGTAGCTCCTACTCCTATTTCCAATAAAATACTGCAACAACCCTTCATTGGCAAGATGCAGAAAATCCATGTGGTTACCTTGTCTAATAAAGTCTCTCTCAGATGGCCTGGCCGTGTTGAGGCAGGCCAGCTGCTGCAGCATGTCACTTAGATGACACTCAGGTTGTTCAGCTCCATCCCTGTATAGAACAACATAGATAAAACCCATTAAATACAAATATATTACCCTAAATTTATATGGGACGCAAGTCAGTTTTTACAATTAAAATCATGGTTTTGATTCTATTTGCCAAATGCATGTTCAAAACCAGATATTAAAAAAAAGTGCTAAAACAGCGTGCTAGTATCTACATAGATAAAACTGACCTTTGCTGAAGATCTTCCCTTTGTGGCTGCTCCATTTTCCCCATTTTCTCAATAGGACTATCTGTTCCTGTACACACACAGAAGAAAGATTACAGTTGACTTGAAAGTGAAATTTCATTTGAAATATTTCTGAGTGACAAGATTTTCAATGGAGGGAAACACTGAAATCCAACACAGCTGTGCCGAATTACAAGATAGCATTGTAAAAATGGATTTATCTATACACATACCTTTATTAAGTGATGAGAGGGGTTTGCGAAGGAGGGCGGGATCCAGACTGGAGGGGGCGATGGAGAACCTGGGAGGTACAGTGAGACAGGAAGTGGGCAGCCGCAGAGGCGCATAACCGGAGGTGAAAAACTCATCAGCCAGCAGCTCGGACACAGAAGGTCTGAGCGTAGGGTCAGCGTGCAGCATCCGACGAATCAGAGCAGCAGCAACTGGATTAACATGCTAAACAATACAACAACAAAAAAAAAAGCATATTGCAATAAGCCACCAATCGGACAAGATTCAATTTATGTTTGCTTTAAACATTCAATAGAAGGTACAAAATCTAGCAAGTTACCTACCTAAATGTTATTAAGCACAATTAAATGAACGTGGAGAAAGATTAAACATTACAAGCTTAACTTTTTTTTTTTGAAACCCAAGCACACAAATCGTTCACAATAAAGATCGATTACAAAAAAAAGGATTTTCATTTCATGCCATGTACAACAGGTGAACTCCTGATGCAAAGATACATACTCTAGGAACAGTGTACTCATTCTTCTTGATTCTGATGTAGGTCTCCTTCAGACAAGATGTCTCAAATGGTGGCTTTCCAACCAGCAGTGTATATCTGATGGACATATTACATCTCCATCAGCAATCGCATATGCTCAGTTATAAAAATGAATCCTTATGCAAGGATGGAATCCCATTAGAGATAGTGTTATGAAAATCTACATCAAATGCTTCCATAGTTGTTTAATTTAACATTGGACTTACAGAATGCATCCCAGTGACCATACGTCTACTTCAAAGCTGTGGCCTTTCTTGCAGAGCACCTCTGGGGCAATGTAGTTTGGAGTGCCACACAGGGTCTTCTTTCTCTCTCCATCAAACTCGATCTTAGTGGCCAAACCAAAGTCACCTAAAGAGAGAGAAATGGGACATAGTCTTGATTAAAAAAAGGTCAAGGTGAAAAAATAAAATAAAAAAAAAATGGCAAAGAACAATTTTTTCCTTACCGATTTTCACATCCATGTCATCATTGAGGAACAGATTTCCAAGTTTGAGATCACGGTGGATGACCCGGTTGTTGTGCAAGTACTGACAACCCTGAATAGTCTGGCGCATGAAGTATCTGGCCTCAGGCTCAGTCACTGCCTTCCTCCGCTTGTGCAATTCAAGGAGAGACTATATGGAAAGAAAGAAAGAAATGAAGCACCAAAATATAAAGCAGACGGGAACGTCAAACTAACTTTTTTTTTTAAACTCCACTTCCATCACAAAAAAAGGACAAAGGAATAAAAGAAGAATTCTTCCTTCAGGATAAACAATTTCTTATTTCATACTTCTGGGGGGATTTGAAAAGAAATCTGGTAGGATTTGAGGATTATTTGAATTAACAGAAAATGCGGAAAAACAAATTAAGTAGTATAAATTAAGCATTATAAATATACATTAAAAATACAGAAGTGAAGACAGTAAAATATATTTATTTTTTTTATTTCCGACGGAGTTCGTTTTAAACAACGATATC